CTTCTAGTTCTGGCTTCTATCTTTTCAATTCTACTCCACTGTAGTGGATGCGACTTAAACTGAATCTGCAGCCTAGATCCAAGTTCAGCCAAACTGTTTACTGAAGCAGAATCTCTCAGGAAAATCCAGCCTACTTGAATCCTAATTCTATAGTCCACAAATGTGATAATAAACGCTTATTGTCCTAAAAAGTTTGGGTAGTGTGTTGCACAGCTTTATTGTAGCAATAGCTGACAAATACTCCTTTGTAATTTATCTTGAGCGCAAGAATCGAAGTGATTCTTTTAAGATCTAAAGCAGATCATGCCATACTCTACTTGAAATTGGGCCATAGCTTTACATTTCTCTGAGTGAAAACTATAACTTTTATTCTACATGATTGGCCCTCTTCTCACGCTCTTATTTTCCAACCTCATCTCCTAATATTCTCCCCTTCTCCTCCTAAATAGTCCTCATATGTACCAGTTATGGTGCCTTTAGACCAACTGTTTCATTTGATTGGGGCACTCTTCCCACTGGCTGTTGTTGTTAGGTGCCTTTGAGTTGGTTCCAACCCATAGTGACCCTGTGTACAACAGAATGAAATAGTGCCAGTCCTGCACCATCCTCAGTCCTGCACCATCCTCAGTCCTGCACCATCAATAAGATGGATTGGTACAATGGCCTGTAACAATGGGCTCAAGTGTACACTTGCTGCTACACTTGAGCCCATTGTTACAGGCCATTGTACCAATCCATCTTATTGATGACCCTCCTTCTCCAGGGACTGGTCCCTCTTGATAATCTGTCTGAAGTATGAGAGATGAAGTCTGTGCATCTTGGCTTCTAAGGAGCATTCTGTTGGTACTTCTTCCAACACAGGCTAACTCGTAGCCTTTTCAATTCTCAGTTTTGTGCTCAAATGTCACCTCAATGTTGCCTACCTTTATCATCCATTTAAAAGTACCTCCTGTCCCTTTCTCTAACCTTGACATCCTGAATCTCCTATACACCCTGCTTTACTTGTTCTTCTACCATAGGATGCTTAGCTTTTTAATATTTTTATGTTTAATGTTTTCCATGACTAGTTAGTAAGCTTCACGAGGGCAGACATCTATGTCTCTTTTGTTTATTAATATATTCTAAGAGCCTAAAACAGTAGTAAAGCATAGCATGGCACATAGTTGTTGTTGCTGTTAAGTGCCATTGAGTTAATTCCGACCCATAACGACCCTCTATAGGGTTTCCAAGGAGCAGCTGGTGAGCTTGAACCGCCGACCTTGCAGTTCAAACAGCATTGCAGTGTTGTTGTTGTTGTTAGGTGCCATCGAGTCTGTACCAACCCATAGCTTTCTTATGCACAGCAGAACGAAACATTGCCTGATCCTGGGCTAACCTCATTGCTGTTGCCATGCTTGAGTTCATCGATGCCACTTGGCCAATCCATCTCACTGGGGGTCTTCCTCTTTTTCTCTGACGTTCCACCTTACCAAAGATGATATCCTCCTCCAGTGTAGGCACCTAGAAAACTTAATTAAATGAGTAAATGAATGAACAGGCTAATAGTTAATCATTTAGCTTTCTAAAATGTCCACATGTTGGAAATATGTAACTTTGACACTCAGATTTAAATTTTCTGCAGGAATGGCTATTCATACAAAGTGGCCGTTGCTCTCTCTCTTTTTCTTGGATGGTTGGGAGCAGATCGATTTTACCTTGGATACCCGGCCTTGGGTGAGTATTTTTTAATGGAAAAAAAAAATCTATGGTGAAAACTTTTTATTTAAAAAAACACACAATTCTGATAAAAATAGATTAACTATCTGCATATTGTTAACATTCAGAAGTTCTGTGTAATTGGAATTGAGTGGCTGACACTCTTGGGAATACAGAGCTAGCAGTTAGCCCTATAATTCTGCTTTGATGTAAATACTGACTATTCTTTCCTGAACGTTTACTTTGATGACAGCATGCTTCATGTAGGGTAGACATTTACTTAGGAAAACAGACTTGGGCTGTCACTTCTAGTGCTAGGTATGCAGTGGGCACTCAGCAGATGTTTTACTAATAAATCTGTTTTCTCTTCCTGTTGCTGTTAAATGCCATCAAGTTGTTTCTGTCCCATAGCTACTCTGTAGAGGGTTTCCTAGGAACAACCATTGGGTTTGAACTGCTGACCTTGTAGTTCATATTCCAGCGCTGATCCTGCAACGCCACACCAGAAGTCCATTCTCTCCCTACCACTCCAAAATTAAGATTTTCTTTTTCCTGGACTTTCATTGTTGTAGCCTTATGAATAGAAACTACGACATTCTGGATAAGTTGGGATTTGGAACTCTGGTACCAGCTGGTATGGGAGCCTAGGGTCGGTCACCTTAGCATCACTCCCCCATGCTTTCATCCTAGCTGTAATCTTCACTTTTAGCACAGTTTCTAATTATTATAACATGCATTTACAATTAGCTATAGCTTTTGTTTAAATAACACGTTCACAAGCCTAACCTGATTTAAACCTTACAACTCTCCGAAGTTTATCATCCTCTTTAGTTGGTACGTAAATTGTCACCAGAGAGGTTAAAGGGATTTACTGACCCTTGTGGCCTTGCTTTATTCTGTGACACATTTGTTGTTACCCTTGCTTTATGGATAGGGAAATTGTCATAAGATTAAGAGATTTACCCAAGGACACTCAGCTAGTGACCTGAATTTGAACCCACATTTTCTGGTCCCAGAGACCATGCTTTATTTACTGTAGTAGCCTGCCTCTGTATTAGCCCTCACTGACCAAATTTCAAGATCCTCTGCTATCTCGCTTAGGGACAGCTAACCTTATTCCTTCCATATATTTACCCACCAGGAATTTTTTTAAAAAAGGAATCTTCACTTGGGGTTAGTCAGAAGGGGATGGGTGTTTCCAACACCTTTACCTGGAATTCAGTTTTATAATGTCAAATATGTTGTTGTTGTTGTCAGGTGCCATCAAATATATATATGGTTTATTCGGTCAAAAAGTATTTATCTAGTGTTTGTAGTTGTTGTTAAGTGCCAGTGAGGTTGTTCTCACTCCTAGTAGCCCAGTATAGGGTTTCTGAGGCGTGGCTAGTGGTTTTGAACCCCCAAGCTTGTGGTTAGCAGTCCAGTGCTTACCCTACAGTATCACACCAGTGACTTATTTAGCATGTTTATTACATGCTAAATGAGAAAGTAACTAAATTACTTAACTAATAACTAATGTGGAAATGATAATAAAAATCACCATGCACATTGGCTAAAAAGAAAATCAATATGAAAAAAATACTTTGCTAGGCCAGTTGATGATATAGCATTATAACAGAACCATAACAAAGTGGTATAAGAGCAGAGCAAAGAGACTGGTTCAGTGTGTGTGTGTGGTAGGGGGGTGAGGGAGGACTTGTCAGAGATGACATTTGAGCTGGATGTTGAAGGATGGAGAGATGGGTACAGGGAGTGACATGTACAAAAGTACAGGAAGATGAAGAAAGAGAATGTGTGTGTGTGTGTGTGTGTGTATGTGTGGTGAGAATGGTGAATAGTTGAGGAACCCTGATGGTGTATGGTAAACACCAGACTGCTAGCCACAAGCTTGGCAATTCAAACCCACCAGCTGCTCTGCAGGAGAAAGATGAGGCTTTCTGCTCCCCAAAAAGATTCATACCTCGGAAACCCTGTATAGGGTTTCTCTGAGCTGAAATCAGAGGTAGATTATGGTTTAGGAAGTATAAGGATCCTAGGTAATGCAAATGGTTTGTGTTCAACTCCTAACCCAAAAGGCTGGCTGTTCCAACCCACCCAGCAGTACTGTAGAAGAAAGGCCTGGTGATCTGCCTCTCTAAAGATGACAGCCAAGAAAACCCTAGGGATCAGTTCTGTTCTTAACACATGAAGTTTTCATGAGTTGGGATCAACTCGAGGACAACTAGTTTTTGTTTGTCTATTTTTGTTGGTGTTAGGTGCGATCCAACTGGGCCTGACTCCTAGCTACCCTATGCGTAACAGAATGAAACACTGACCGGTCCTGTGTCATCCTCACACATGGTACATTTGAACCCATTGCTGTTGCCACTACATCAGTCCATTTCGTTGGGGGTCTTGCTGTTTTTCTCTGATCCTCCACTTTACCAAGCATGCTGTCCTCATTCAGGCACTGGTCCTTCAGGATGACATGTCCGGAGTCTCAGAGACAAAATCTGGCCATTTTCTCTTCTAAAGAGCATTCTGGCTGTGTTTCTTCCAAGAAAGATTTATTTGTTTTTCTGACAGTCCATGGTACGTTTAATATTCTACTCCACCACCATAACTCAAATGCATTGATTTTTCTAGGGTCTTTCTTACTTATTGTCCAACTTAAAACATGCTTATGAAGCCATTAAAAATACCATGGCTCTTTGCCCTTTAACACTTTAAAGAGGTCTTGTGCAGCATTTGTGTGATGCAATATATCCTTTGAGTTCTTGACTACTGCTTCCATTAGAGTTGATGGTGGATCCAAGCAAACTGAAGTCTTTGACAGCTTCAATGTTTTCTCCACCATGTTGGTGTAGTTGTGAGGATTTTTGTTTTCCTTACATTGAGGTGCTAAAGGCTTTGATCTTTGTCAGTAATTTTTTTTTTTTTTTTTTAATTTTTATTGTGAATTGAGTGATAGTTTACATGGGAGAACATTGATTTTACACTCATTGTTTTGTTGCAATGATTACAGTCTCCTCCGTGCATTATCATTCAACAGTATTTGCTTGTATTCCCTCTGGCTTTTTAGATGGGAGGCACGCGTATGTACACCAAAATAATCAGGAATATATAATCATTTAAACAACCAAAGGGCACAATCTGCAAGCCTGCCTCCTGGCTGCAAGCACACATCCTTTTTCTATCCATAATTCTAGAGTCCTCGATATCTCTATTTCTCCATTTCCTCATCTCTGCCTCCATCTCTGGTGTCACTGCTTCTCTGGATAGGGTCGCACATTCTGCTCATGCTCTTCCCCCTTGATGGTCCTAGGGTCCTTTGTTCCTGGACTGTAAGGTTAACTACTTCATCCTTTTTGTTACAGAACTTCTACCTTCTGTTAGTAAGTATTTTAAGTCCTCTTCTCTTCCAGCAAGCAAGGTTGTATCATCTGCATATTGCAGGTTGTTCATGAGCCTTCCTCCAAGCCGGATACCACATTCTTCTTCATATATCCAACCTTTTGGATTGCTTGCTCAGCAAGCAGACTGAATAAGTTTGATGAAAGGACACAACCCTGGCACATAACTTTTCTGAGTTTAAACCATTCAGTGTCACCTTGTTCTGCTCGAATAATTGCCTCTTGGTCTATGTACATGTTCCTCATGAGCACAATAAAGTGTTCTGGAATGCCCAGTCTTCTCAGTGTTACCCATTCCACACAGTCAAAAACCTTTACATGGACAGTAAAGCACAAGTAAGCATCTTTCTGGTATTCTCTGCTTTCAGCCAAGATCCATCTTTTGTGAGCAATGATATCTTTAGTTCCACATCCTCTTCTGAATCTGGCTTGAATTTCTGGCAGTTTCCTGCGATGTACTGTTGCAACCATTATTTAATTATCTTCAGCAGAATTTTATTTGCATGTGATGTTAATGATATTGTTCAATGATTTCCAAATTCCGTTAGGTCACCTCTTTTCATTATCAGCACAGATATGGATCTCTTCCAGTCGGTTGGCTAGGTAACTGTCTTCCAGATTTCTTGGCATAGACTAGTGAGCATGTCCAGTGCTGCATCAGTTTGTTGAAATATTTCATTTTGTGTTCCATTAATTCCTGGAGCTTTGTTTTTTGCCAGTGCCTTCAGTTCATCTTGGACTTCTTCCTTCAGAACCATCGGTTCTTAGTCATATGCTACTTCGTGAATAAATTGAACATTAACTGTTTATTTTTAGTGACTGTGTATTCTTTTTTTTTTTACAAATATACTTTTAAATTTTATTATATCAAAATTACATTTAATATGGTATGTGGGTATAATATATTTATTATGATATTGGTAGGACCTGACTGTGTATTCTTTTCATTATCTTTTGATGCTTTCTGCATCATTCAGTATTTTGCCCATAGAATCTTTCAATATTGCAAATCAAGGCTTGAATTTTTTTCTTCAGTTTTTCAGCTTGAGAATGTTGAGTATGTTCTTCATTTTGTAACTTTAGGTCTTTGCACATTTCATTATATGGTGGTGTTGGTAGTGGTGGTGTGCGGTGGAGTTGGTTCTAACTCATAGAGACCCTGTATAGGGTTTCTGAGGCTGTAAATCTTTATGGGAGAAGAAAGCCTCAACTTTCTCCTGCAGAGCAGCTGGTAGATTCAAATTGCTGACTTGCGATTAGCAGTCCAACTCATAATGTTATATAGTGTAAGTTAATGTTTTTGGCTCACTGTAGCTTTGATAATATGTTGGTATATAAATTATGAATTTTTTTCCGTTCAAAATAAAACTCTTAGGTGGTGAAGCGCTGTAAATGTACATTGGCTCTAATCAGTGAATGTTAGTTTCCTGCCAAAGCTTCTTTTGTCTGGCCACTGCTGCTCCAATCTATTATCAGAATAAGTTGAAGAATAGAATCTTTCAGTTTGAGGCTGCCAGTCTATAAATTTACAAATTTTATTTATTAATTTTTAAAGTTTTTATTATGAATTGAGAATTGAGTAAGTGAAGGTTTACAGGGCAGATCATCAGTTTTTTAAAATTCAAT